CTACAGTGCCACACTAGGACTCCATAAAGGAAGAGTTTATATGACCTTAAAAAAGGTGGTATAGATGACCTAGCTGTATGAGGCCGTTACAGATAAAGGACACATATTTTTAAATACTGTCTGGTATGTAAGGGGCTAATTCACATTCTTCTTTGGAAGACTCTGCTTCTCTGACTACTCAGGCCTAACTGTGAATCTGAATTATACTGCTTCTGATCTCTCTTCTAATTCCAGGGATCTTCTCTATATTCCGGCTCTTACCTTGGCAACCTAGCCTGTGACCCTTAGTCCAACACCATAACTCAAAAGCATCAATTCTTCTACAGTCTTTCGTATTCACCGTCCAGCTTTCACATGCAAATAAGGTTACTGAAAATACCATGGTTTGGGTCAGGCGCACCTTAGTCCTCAAGCTGATATCTTTACTCTTCAACTCTTTAAAAAGGTCTTGTGCAGATTAGCCTAATGCAATATGTCATTTGATTTCTTGACCTGCTTCCATGAGTGTTGATAATTGATCCAAGAAGAATGAAGTCCTTGACAACTTCAATCTTTTCTCTGTTGATAAAGAATGTTGTTCATTGGTCCAGTGGTGAGGATTTTTGTTTTCTTTATATTGAGATGCAATCCATACCAAAGGCTGTGGTCTTTGATCTTCAATAGTAAATACTTTACTTCCTCTTCACTTTCAGCAAGCAAGGTTGTAACATCTGCATATTGCAGGTTGTTAATGAGTCTTCCTCTAATCCTGATGCCATGTTTTTCTTCATAGAATCCAGTTTCTCGGATTATTTGCTTAGCATACAGGTTGAATAAGTATGATGAAAAAATACAACCTTGTTGCACACCCTTCTTAATTTTAAACCATTCAGTGTTCCCATGTTCTGTTCGAACACCTACCTCTTGGTCCAGGTACAGATTCCTCATGAGCACAATTAAGTGTTCCAGAAAACTTCTTAGACATTACCAAATATCTTAAAGCAGTGAGTTGCTGGTCCTGGGGGCTCAGGACCATAGTATCAGGGGACACCATGGCCAGTTGTCATAACACAGTATACAAAGACAATTTTCTGTATCTTACTTAGGTGAGCAGAAACCGGGATATTAAAAGCTCATGAGTGGTCATCTAAGGGACAAATATTGGTCTCTCCATATGTGAAAGAAAGAGTGATGAAAAATGAAGATGCTTGGAAATCAACTAGTCCAATGGACCAATGTGGACATCAGTATCTACGACTCAGACCAGAAGAACTAGAGGGTGCCCAGTTATCACTACCAACTATTCTCAAAGAGATCACATTAGAAATTTCTGTATAGAGTGGAAGACAATATGGAATAAAACTCAAAATTATTTTTCAAAAAAGACTAGTTTAGTGGTCAGAAAGAGACTGGAGAAACTATGGCCCTTAGCCACCCTTAAGGTGGCCAAAGTTTCAACCAACCAGTAGATTGGCATATAGGAGGCAACAACACTAATAAGGTATACTTACCATAGAATGGTCAATCAAAATCAAAAGGGCAACATTTACCTAAGAACAAAGTTGAGAAGGGTAGAACGGAAGTAAGAATCACAGGGAGGAAGTGGGATAACTATTGCTGCATGGTGGGGGTTGCTATCATTGAGATGAAACAAAGTGCATGATTGTTGAATGTAAACCATTCAATTCACAGTAAAAAGTTTCAAAAAAAAAAAAAAAAGAGTTCAGAGAGGGATAATTTTTTGAAATGCAATCAAAAGAGTGCAGCTTGAGAAGAGAAAGGATTTGAATTGAGCTTTGTAGGATGGGTAAGACTAAGGTAGTCAGAAAACAGGAGGGAGGATTCTCCAGGTTACAGAAACAGCAAGAGCAAACACCATAAGCAGAAATAAATGGAGTCAGAAAAGACAAGTAAGCAAACATATGTGCTAAGCAAAGGCAGTGCCAATTGTGTTTATCTGATATATTTTCTTAATTTATAGAGTGCTAGCTAATTAACTCAGTTCGAAACTACCAGCTGTTCCGCAGGAGAAAGATGAGGCTTTCTGCTCCTGTAAAGATTTACAGCCTCGGAAACCCTGTACAGGGTCGCTATGGGTC